AGAATCAACTTTCGATATCTGGAATAAGGCAAAGAAAAATTATTCACGTCCTGAGCACACTTTGAGCAGTGACAAATTTGCGAAGTTCTTGCTGAGATGCTTCAGCGAGGGAAGTGAGATGGCGTTAGACTCTAGTTTTGGGGTGGAAAGAATTGATAAGGAGCACTGCCATGGCAAAACGGAGAAAGTAAAGTCAGTTTGGTCATCTTCAGAACCCCAATACGCATCACAATTATGCCATCAAGGCAGTGGGTAAGTTTGAATTTTTTTCCTTACCAGCGACAGCACCATGCATTTTCCAATAACATACTTTTACTTTGTATTGTTGCATAACGCGTTTTTATGAGACATTTTAATGGTGGAAACAGGCCTCAAGCCAAAGGGTTTGCAAGAGTATCCCAGACTTTTGAGGTTCCAATTGCAAACGCTTTAATCAGACGCTTCAAAAGTGAGCTGGCAAAAGATTTCAACACAAATAAATGGTGAATAATATGACAGTTCTTTTTAACTTTTCTGGATGAGTTACATTTCAGACCTATAGTAGCAAGGATTCTTTCATTTTTCAAATTTTAATGGATTGTTTCACTTTCCATATATGAAAACTAACTTTTTAAGGAATTAATACCACAAAATTCAAAATCAAAATGACTGCTGTGTGGAGGTTTGTGGGGAGGTTCGTGGTGATATTTTCGATAAACCTTTACGTTAAGCGATGTGCATTTGTTAGCTCAGACTGCATTGGAGTTTCATTGATTGGAGAGGAAGCTAAGGAGACCAAATATGGAGAGTCATTTATTTGCTCAAGCCAGTGGCAAGCGAGAGATGGAAAGTTTTTATTTTGGATTCGAACGTCAAAGCAAAGCTTTTTTAGCATTTCAATCCTTATGTGTGGCGATGTGAAGCAATGTCCCGGGCCTGGAAATTTTAGAAGGAACATCTCAATTAACCTCATTGACTAACAACAAAGGGATGAAAATGTTTCACCAAAACGTGAGGGGACTCTTTGGAAACCTTGGACATGTGTCTGAACTGCTACAAAGTTTTCCAGGCAGTGAAACATACATCGAAGCGGGATTTGAGCAAGAGGAAGCAATATACGACATACCTGGCTACTCTTTCATAAATCGTCCAAGGAAATCTGGAAAAGGTGGCGGAGTTGGAGTGTATATCGGTGATTGTGTAGTTTGGGATCGACGATACAATTTAGAAAATGATAACATCGAAGCAATCTGGATTCAGATTAGGCCAAAACATTCAAAGAGTTTCCTAGTGGGTATTATGTATCGTCCTCCTGATAGCTCTAAATATCTCAGTAAAGATTTCAACAACCATTTGAATATCATACTTTCTAAAGTGTCTGAAAAATCACAAGAGACAATCCTCATGGGAGACCTGAATGTGAACTTTCTAAAGCAGGACAACAAAGAATTCAAGGCTATTTGAGTGTTTTTGGTCTGAAACAAATGGTTGAAAAACCCACATGAGTAGCAAAATCATCTGAAACTCTGATAGACGTCATCTTAACAAATAACCCGGCAAATATGATACAAACTTATTAGTCCAGTAAAACTAAGTCAAAAAATGGTCGAACCTCAAACAAATTGCAACAGAAACGAAATAATGGTTGTTTTGCTAATTAAACTATGCTCTATAACATATGAAAAGTCCTAAGAATTTCTAGAAGTGGAAAGTGTCCAAATTGCCAGCTGAGTTAAGGTGGTTTAGCTAAAAAAATTTCATGGATTTTAAACGTAGAAGTCAAAGTCGAGAAGGCATATGGGTTTACAATGACTCTCGTAGTATTTCCATTAAATCTACCAAGATAATTACCCACTCTTGAATAGATATTTATTCAACATCGTGCTTACTTAATTGTGATGTTCACTTTATTTGGGGAAGTCCTCTCGAACCATTTCAAAACAAATCTTGGTGAAGGAGCTGTTGCGATTGAGCATATGATCAAATTGCATGTTGACCTTGAATCTTGACCAGAGAACCTGTTTGTTGCTTGCGTTATTTCTTCTTTGTGCAGATAATAAAACGTAGTCTACAACCGGCAAAATGGTCTGCATGACAGTTACGTAAGATAGAGTGTGTTATCTGCAAAAAACCAATCTGGAACATAGCAGCAGGTGTCGTTCTTCGTCAGAAAGGTGCAAATGGAATCAACAACGCAAGTAAAGAGCGAGGCGACGTGATAAATGTTACTGCTGGTCAATCACTTCACAAGGATTGTCGTGCAAATTTCACAAAGCCACAAAATATAGCAGCGGCTGCAAGAGAGACCTCCCAAGCAAGGGGCAAGCGTTTACTTCGATCTGAAGCTCAGAAATTCAACTTTAAAGAGCACTGTCTGTTTTGTGGTGAGGGGGAACGCCACCAAGGGAAGAAGAAGGACTTTTCTCTTGTACCGGTGAGGACCTTCGAATTTCAGAATACAGTTTCCGAAATATGCAATGAAAGAAATGATGAATGGGCAAGTAAGGTCGCTGAGAGAATTGAATCGGCTATTGATCTTCACGCTGCAGATGCCTTGTACCACCAAAAATGCAGTGTAAACTTTAGGACAAGAAAAGGAATCCCTTTAGTTTTCACATCAAATCAAGAAGGCGCAGCACCTCAAAAGAAGACGAAGCGTGGCAGACCACTGGAAGAAATGCAAAATTATGCCTTTGAAAGGGCTATGGAATTTTTTGAACAAAATGATGAGGAACAGCTCACCGTTAAAGATTTAGTTGAAAAAAAGGCTGACTTCCCTCAGGAATCTAAAACTTCTTCATTCAGTGCTGTATACATGAAGAAGAGGATCAAAGAACGTTTCGGAGAAGATGCTATTTTCACAGAGCTGGATGGAAGAACTGATGTTGTAACCATGCGACCCTTTGCTGCAAAAATTCTGCAAAAGTTCTATAATGAGCCAAAGAAGGAGGACGTTAAGGAAGAAGAGATGAGAGTTGTTAAAACAGCGGCAACATGCCTAAAGAATGCCATTAAGTCATGTCCCACCTCAAAGGAATATTATGCAAGCAACAGTGATATATCATCGATGGAAAATGCAATGTCCTACCTACCAGAGTCACTGATCTTCTTACTTGACACAATTCTTGTTGGAAAAGATAAAAAAAGTAAGATTGCCTCAATTGGTCAAGCAATCATGGAGGCGGCGAGAGCTAGAACATTGATTGCACCTTTACAACTTGGTCTTGGGGTTCAAATGCACCACCACTTTGGATCGAGATTTCTGGTCGACTCACTTCATAGGCATGGATTTTGTTGCTCCTATTCAGAAGTGCAAGCTTACGAAAGGAGTGCAGCTATCAAAGATGGAGTTGAGCTGAGTATCCCTGAGGGACAAACGCTAGTTCAATATGTTGCAGACAACGTCAATCACAACATTAGAACTATTGACGGAAGAAATACTTTTCATGGAATGGGAATAATTGCCACTATCACCCCAAGGAGTGCTGCCCGTCCTTCAACATTTATCCCAAGGCGATGCAACATATCATCTGATGAAATAGCAGCCATCGGTGCAATTAACATCAAGCAGTACAATATAGCCAATAACCAACTCAACATCAGGTACGATCAGTTGCTCTCAAATGAAATTGTTGATCCAACATCAAAATTGGATCTCTTATGGCAAGTTTCTTGGTTGCTGAACCCAAGAAGGCCATCATGGTCTGGAAAAATGCAATGGTGCCACCAGGTGGAGTATCCAGGCAAGTCATCTGTTATCTTTTTGCCAATGATCGATTTGGATCCCAGCAATGTCACTTGTATTCACTCTACCTTAGACTTTGTTTCTCGCCATGCCAAAAAATATGATGTGACATCGATTCTCACTTTTGATCAGCCGCTATGGTGGAAAGCCATTTGTATCATCAAAGGGGAGCCAATTGATAGCCCTTTGCATCAAATAATTTTGCGACTTGGAGCTTTTCATACAGAAATGAGTTTCCTCGGAAGTATTGGATATCTCATGAGAGGGTCAGGATTGCAAGAATCTCTCGAGCTTATATATGCTGATAATGTTGTCCCACATATTCTCACTGGTAAAGCTATCTCCCGAGCAGTACGTGGCCATCAGTTAGTCGAAACAGCTCTTAATGCTATTTTGTTATCGAAAGCCTGTGATGTACCATTGCCTACAGATGCTGACAGAGAGCAGGATGCTGCCGATACAAAAGGAGAGGCTCCAGAGCCTCAACAGCGTGACAGAGGTGCAGAGGCAGCTGCTGTGTTAGAAACCCCAGAAGTATCCAGTGATTTGAGGAATTTGAAAGATATGTTTGAGTCACTGATGGGTCATTCCATGCCAAAGTGGGACAAAAAAATTAGATTTGTAATGCACCCTCTTAGATTTTTCTGATACTCCTGTCAAATGCTAAGTATCTTGAGAGGAAAATAACCTGAAAATTTCAAGTTGATATCTTAACTCATTCAGATATTATAGTTATTTTAATTTTTGCTGATTCAGCATAATATTATCCACATATCCGCCATTTTAAATGTGCGGGGAAAGTTTTGATAAATTTTGATCAAGCAGATGGAAATCACCAATAAAAATATCACTTTTGGATAAATTAGGGGCAAGGAATTCAAAAATTGCATTAAAAATTCACTAAATCCATTAGAAAACAGAGTAAATTATACTAGAATATAATTTCTTATACTCACAAATCGCTTTTACCATCCATCAAACTATGAAAAAATTCACCATGTTGGAAGAATGTGACAAATTTCAAATTGTGCATCCAAGAAGTACACAGGACAGACTTTAAATTTACAAAGAACCAGCAAAAGGTTTTTCTTGGTTTCTGAGATACGCACCTTGCAAATCTGTGAGAAATTCATGAAAATTTGGTATTTTTCTCAGTTGTTTAAAGCCATCTATATAGCAAATACACCGCATGTTGTTGGAATTGGTGTTTTACTAATAGGTGTGGCTCTTTCTCTGCAGTATCTCTCTTGATAGATGGTTCAAGAGTACTTGTTGAAGGGATGTTTTTAGGCAAAGAGTCCACTGAAATTTTGAAACTGTATATTCAAAACATTTTTTCCGCAGTACTTTATGCTACTAAAGGTTAGATAAATTGATATTCAAGCAAATTGTCATTTCTCGTTATTTAGTTATAAAATTGTTTATGTATGTAGCTATATACTCACAAGCAGTTCTACATCCTTTGAAGACATCTGTCAATCCTATCTCTATCTTTGCCATCAAGAATATACTGCCTACCGGTATGAGTTGAAAGTGTTGGTGGCTCGATTTTGAACAATATCTTTGTTTTCGGTACCCAGCATGTATCATCTCTTTTTGGCCACTTCAAAGAAGTGGATGGGAGGCTGGGATGCATGAATTTAACATTGACATCATGCATATCATTGTCTACCTCTATCAACATTCCTGCCCAGTAGAGTTCGTCGTAATTGCAAACCACAAACTGGCCAACTCTAGCCTCGACACCTTCCAGTTGCTCCTCTCCAAAACTGAATCGAAGAGCAAAATCCACTTCCTCAGAAACTCTTTTGGCGCCAATAATAGATGAGCTTATTGGTATAAATTGGTGGAAGCTTCTTGTGCCAGGAACTGTCTTTGCTTGACTGAGACGCTCTCTTATATTCTCTCGTGTGGATTGAATTTCCTCTATTGGAATATATTTAAATTCAATTCCACTTATTTTTTCTTGGCAATAGAGGAACATTGCCTCTGCTGATAAAATTTGGTCATTTGAAGGCCTTTGCAAGCTTGCCATGGCAACAAGCTTCTTCACTGTGCCACCGATTCCGTCACATGGTGACTTACCATGGCTGGTGGCAAAGAAATTCCACTCACATTCAATGGAAAAGTCTTCTTGATGGTGGCACAGGTTAATGAAGTTCTTGCAGTTCTTGTACTGGCCTGCGCAACCGTCTGAAAAATAGCTGATCTTCTTTACCTGGCTTGAGAGCTGCTTTATATGAGCAACAGTTTCAAAAATAACTTTGTACACAAAATTTACATCATGGTACAAATCGTTTGATATGAAACAGAGGGATTGGACAGAAAATTGAGCAGCATCTTCAAATTTGTGGTAAAGAACTATTGGATGTAGAGTACATTGCTGTTGATTCCAATGGTACCCTTGAACCTCATCCTGTATTACAAACTTGTAATTCTCTGAAAAATCCCCCAAAACAATCACTTCTTCAGCACACAACGACTCTTTTTTGGCATTTAAATATGCTGCTTGTGAACGTGCTATATATGAGTGAGCTGTTACTTTATCCAACTTTTCACACAGAATTGAAATAAATTCACTTGCAGAAACAGTTTGGGAAGTCAGCATAGAGCGATCTGTTGTTGTCCATTGATTGAATTCAAGACTTATTTCATCCAAGTCATTGTCTTCATCATCTGTAGACGTTTCAGATTCATCACAGTAGTTAACTGCGCCAATTTCATCTGACAACGGCATCTTTCCTGGGTCAAATCTTTGGAGTTCCCTTTTTAGATATGCTTCAACTGATTCTATGCCTGGACAGGAGGCACACCTATGAATCATGCATACCTTTGATTCTCGGTTACAAACAATCATGTCTGTAAGTTCATGATAACTTTTGTCTATACTGATAGCATCTAACATCAGTTTTAAATTTTGATGGATTGTGCAGACACACACTGAATGAGTACCTTTGGGGCCAACTGAAATGCACCATTTGGGACGTAGGCTGGCAAACTTTGAAAACCCGATCTTTAAGTTAGGATTTTTAGTTTTAAATAATTCATATAGTTCTTTCAAACTGCACAATATCAAACGCTTTGCCACATATTGCTTCTTTCCGATGCTTAAGCAATCTTTCTTGCCAGGTAGCTGACGAGTATAATCATCATTGCAATAAAATTCTTTAACTGCCGTAACGATGTCGTCGTTCAACTTCTTTGCTTTACAGGCTGAAGGAAGTTCTATAATTCCCTTTTCATCTCTGAGGCGGATAGCTTTTTGGATAGTACTTTTGGAAACTTTGAATTGTGTTGCTGCTTTTCCGAGTCCCCAAGACTTTGGAGTCAGTGTCAAAATTTGAATCTTTTGTCTTCTAGTTGACACATTCAGCTTTTCTTTCATGAGAGAAACCAGGTAATCCAGGTCCCTTGATTTTTGCTCTGTTTCCTTTGCCGACTTATTTTCTTCTGATTCGAAACTAATCACACTTTTATCAACATTTAAAACAGTGGCAACTCGTTTGGACAGTTCATTGCTTGCTTCTCTGATTTTTCGTTTTCGTGCATAACCATTGTGTTTTGAGGTATTGAATGCAGTTTTATTGGTGACAAATCAAGCTCAATGAATGTGCTACTTAATACCTCTTTACTTTCTGCAATGGCTAACTCATCATCTAGTTCTTGCGTGAATTGGTCATCCTGGGGTAAAATACTTTCATGGGGATCACCTTGCGTCAATGCACGGACTTTCTTTTGGCATGAAGGGCATAGCTTATATCCTGGAAGAGCGTGCAACCCATACTGGATCATGTGCTCCGCAAGCTCCAGCTTTATTTCAGCAAGGCCACCTGCAAAAATAGTTTTGTTAGTCAAAATGCTTTATCAAGTGTGTTCACGATTTCGAAGTAACCTAAAAGGGGCGTAGAACGTGTGCAAAAGAAGGGAGCACGGCAGAAGTTTTTTGACAAAAAGTGCACTTTTCTGAGAAAAGGGACAATTTTGCGTACAAAAAGGGGCACAAAACTTGTATCCTCTGAAAAGTAGGGACACCTGCCCCTCACGTTCCTACGTTACTGTTTTATTGAAATGGTCGGTTATATCATGAATGACAGTTTGTTTTCGTTAAAATCAATGTTTCTTGTAAAAATGCAGAACTTCAGCGTATCCTTTTTAGATTTTAGAAGATTCTTAATGGTAAGGCTCACAATCGCTGCTCGATGTTCAATTTTGGTTGAAAATAGATATATACGATTGCTTGCTAACATACATACCTTTAATTTTCTTTGTGTGGGCATGGAAAGGATCGCAACACCACGTTTCCTTTATGACGTATCTTTTTAATATTTCATGTTTATGATGTAAACAAATGTCTCCACCCACATTTAAAATCGAAAGTCCGGATCTCCACCAAATGATTTCTCGTTCCTCCAGGTCAAGATCGTCCAACTTTTGAATTCCCTGGTTTCTGCTGTAAGACTTTAAATGACAAGCGTGCCAATATTTTCACCAATCGAACAATTCTTCAAACTCATAGTTACACCGAAACCCTAAACTGCTTGCGTCGTATCGAAGTAACAGATCAACTTTTTAAAGCGTCTGCTGTGTAAATTACTGCGCAAATATGATTTAAATAAAACCTCAAAAAAAACTGATACACCTGTTCCTGACAGGAAACATCATGGACATTAGCTGGAAATATTGCAGAGGTGTTAACTATGAAGTTCTTTGAAGAACAAAGGATTTACATTGTTCCCACTTGTCGCAATTCGCATAAGAATAAGGGTAGTCGGCTCTTCTTACGTTTCTGCATTCATTGCGTTCACATCCGTTATGAGAATTTGATTTCAATGCTGCACGGGGCGGCAAAAAGGCGACTGATCGAAATTCGCAAAAGTGTCATGGAAGTCGGCGACTCATGAACAGCCTATAAAAACACGTTCACACTTGTCCCAATACGCATAAGAAGCAAGAGAATCGCCGACTTCCCCGATTCCTACGCAAATTACAACTGGGAACCAGGTTTAAAAAGGTTTTTTTATACACACTTTTTTTATAAGGAACCACTTTATAAGGAACCTACATGTATAAGGCCGAAATATTTAAAGAACTTTTCGATTTGCAAAATTGTTATAACTGCAAGCATCAAGAACTAAAAAGCCGGTTCCATTCATTTGCAGCCAATAATCGCATAGATTGTTCGCTATTCGTGTGTCAAGTGCTTTGTCGAGTAGTTTCCGCATATGCTCTCTCGCCCCTCTCCATTAAGTGTTAAGGCTTATTGATGTGCAGTAATAATTAAGGAACTTTTGAGGAACTTTTGGTAATAAAATCTGATGATTTGAAGTATACGAATAAGGAACTTTTGGAACTAGGCCTTGAGGTAGGTTCCTTATAAAAAAAGCGTGTACTTCAAAACTTAAAACAAATCTGCACAATAACATGTCATGATGTTAGCTTTTGGCAAATAATAATTTTGAAATAAATTACATCCCTAGAAAATTTTACCTTGAAATATGCATTTTAGGAATTGCCGAATTTTTGCATGGGTTTTCGGATTTTTTTCAAAATTTTGAACGTTTTTGTAGGTTTTTGCACTCCCTAAGCATGTATAAAAGTAAATTTGAACCATTGAAAATGGGTTGTATTGATGGGAAAGATATATTCAATTATAAACACCACATATATTCAATATAATCAAAGATATATTCAATATAATCGTTAAATTCTATTTGTAAAACACCAATTCCAATAACATACAGTGTATTTGCTATATAGATGGCTTTAAACAACTGAGAAAAATACCAAATTTTCACGAATTTCTCACAAATTTGCAAAGTGCATATCTCAGAAACCAAGAAAAACCTTTTGCTGGTCCTTTGTAAATTTAAAGTCTGTCCTGTGTACTTCTTGGATGCACAATTTGAAATTTGTCACATTCTTCCAACATGGTGAATTTTTCATAGTTTGGTGGATGGTAAAAGCGATTTGCGAGTATAAGAAATTATATTCTGGTATAATTTACTCTGTTTTCTAATGGATTTAGTGCATTTCTGTTGCAATTTTTGAATTCCTTGCCCCTAATTTATCCAAAAATGATATTTTAATTAATGATTTCCATATACTTTATGAAAATTTCTCAAAGTTTACTTTCTCTGCACATTCAAAATGGCGGATATGTGGATAATATTATGCTGAATCAGCAAAAATTAAAATAACTATAATATCTGAATGAGCAAAGATATCAACTTGAAATTTTCAGGTTATTTTCCTCTCAAAATGCTAAGTATCTGATAGGAGTATCAGGAAAATTTGAGAGGGTGCATTACATGACTGTCCCTCATTGTCATGGAATGACCCTGATGCAAGGAAGGGTTTCTATGGAATATGTTTGTCAATCACATGATCTTGAGGATGTAAGGCAGAAGATACTCGATGCCAAATCGTCTTCAAGCAATTCCAGGACAGGAAAGCTTTGGTTGCCGTACCTTGAAATGATAGAGATTCTTCGCACATTTATCAAAGCTGAGAGGACCGGAGATTGGAACCTGCACTTGCAAACTGTTCAAGCTATGTAGCCTTACTTTGCCGCCTCGGGACACAGCCTCTACACCAAGAGTGCACGAATATATTTGCAAGAAATGAGCAAGCTAAAGGATGATCATCCACGTGTCCATGATGCCTTTGAGAAGGGATTCCATGTTATCAGATGCTCTGATCGTTATTGGGCTGGATTATCCTCAGACCTCATCATAGAACAAGTATTGATGCGAAGCCTTAAAACCTCTGGTGGCTTGACAAGAGGAAGGGGAATGTCCGAAACACAGAGGCTGATCTGGTTGTTATCCATGCCAGCAACTGCTGAGATCAATGAAGCTATGCAAGAGTTTACTGAAGTTACTTTCAGCAGCAGTGAGCAACATAAAGATACGTCAGAAGCGAGAATTAGCAGAGATTTGAAAGACACAAATTCACTTCTCTCATTCTTTCAGGTAAGAGATCCATTTAGTGACGACTGCAGTGTTTGCAACATTGCGACAGGGGTAACAGCAATAGATACAGTCAATGCTGACGTTGCAAAAGAAGTTGGAAACAAGATTCTTGAAAAGATGACAGGTCAATATTGCAAAGATTTTCTGTTCAAAAGAGCAAACCAGGCCATTACGCTTGATGCAAAAAAGCACCCAAAGGAAACAGATGGAGATATTCATGTAGGACCCCAGCTGTTATTTCAAAGACTTATTGCCGTTAAAAGTCATACCACTGAAGATACATCAAAACTTTTCAGCTACGAGCTCTGTTCTGTTCCAGCATCTTTATTTGAAACAAATGGCTCCTTGAGAAAAGCTAACAAGCCCGTCCTGGCGAGTACCATAAGAAAAATGGTTGACACAGAGATTGAAATACCATCGCAGCCAGTAAGGTATGTTTTAGATGGGGGCTCTTTGCTGCAACGGATATCTTGGAAGCGTGGAGCATCATATGCCTCCATTATCGATAGTTATGTGGCATATGTGAAAAGAAAGTACACAAAAGCTTTCATAGTTTTTGATGGGTATACCGCTGGTCCTTCGCCCAAGGACATGACACATCAACGAAGAGTTGGCTTGTCGTCTGGAACAACGGTGAAATTTGAAGAAAATATGCTTCTTACTATAAGGAAAGAAACCTTTCTTGCAAACAAAGAAAACAAGCAAAGGTTTATCAACATGCTTGCAGCAAAGTTGAAGGCAGAGGGCTGTGATGTCTACCATGCTGATGCTGATGCTGATCTTCTGATTGTTCAAAAAGGGATTGAGGCCTCAGTGGAAGAAGAGACGGCGGTGATTGGTGAAGACACAGATTTGCTAATTTTGCTCATTTACCACGCAAACAAAGAGTCGAAAAAAATCTACTTCTACTCTGAGTCCAAGCAGAATGCTAGAGGTACAAATGTCTGGGATATTAAACTATGTAAGGAATTGTTGGGCAAAGATATATGCAACAATATTTTGTTCCTACATGCCATTCTTGGGTGCGACACAACATCTAGCTTGTATGGCATCGGTAAAGGGTTATCGTTGAAGATATTCCAACAAAATAAACACTTACAACGACAGGCTGCAGTGTTCCAGAATGATATTGCCAACTCCGAGGAAATAGCATCTGCTGGCGAGCATGCCCTCGTTTGCTTATATAAAGGAAAGGAAGGTGAAGGACTCGATGCCTTGCATTACAATACCTTCTGTGATAAAGCTATTTCTGGTAAATCTGTTATCAGCCCACAGGTACTTCCACCCACCTCTTCTGCTGCTAAGTATCACAGTTATCGAGTTTTCGCTCAAGTAATGCAATGGAAAGGAAGAGATCTCGATCCTACAGAATGGGGGTGGATCATTGAAAAAGGGAAAATGATGCCTTTGCAAACTGATCTTCCATACGCACCAGAAGAGCTCCTCAAGTTGATCAGCTGTAATTGCAAAAAGGGGTGCGCAAATCTTCGATGCAGTTGCAAACAGAATGGTCTGAAATGCACAACGTGTTGCGGAGAATGCCGCAGAGTGAGCTGCGAGAACGCCATGCAGGCAGATATGGAAGAAAATTTGGAGGACAGTTTGTGAATAATTTAGAATGACCAATATCTAATTAATTTGTTTGATAATTTTTCGTTTTTGATTATTTAGATAATTTGGTTTGGTTTGGTTTGGTATAGTTTGGTTGTTTTCGTATTTTGGCTTGAAATCAAAAGCGTCAATCGCATTCAAGACTCAAAATAGAGAAATAATACCCCTGTTAGTCCAAATTTCATGAGACTTTGCAAAGCGAAAATCATTTTGTAGATAGGTAAGACGAATTAAGAAGAGTTAAGACGAGTGCATAATTACTGAGCGACTCTAAAAACGCCTAATTTGGTAGAAGACCATATTTTGCAGCATTCAACATATTTCAAAATTTAGCCAATGTACTACCTTAAATGGCATTTAAAGTTTCCAATGTTCCACCTCAATGATTTTCCAGGACTTTTTTGCTCAAGGTATAAATACATTTTGTAATCTTTTTAGCATGTATTCATTCCTGTTGCAATTTGTTTGAGCTTACACCACAAATTGACTGGACTATATTCCTACCAGCATCGGTGATCATGACATGGTTGCCTGTGAAAGGAAATTGAATCACTCTGGTTTCAAGCAGAGGAACATGGTCTGTTGCGATAATAAGAAATATCGCCCAGAGAAAATGAATAAAGATCTAGAGGCCATTGACTGGTCTACTTAGCAGCAACTCTCTTATTTGATGAAATTCTGCAACATATAGATGAAAGGAAAGTAGTTGGTGCAATGTTCATTGACTTAAGTAAGGCATTTGATACCATCAGTCATTCGAACCTGCTTCAGAAATTACCT